ATGTCTCTTGACATATGTATTTTTATATCACCATTAATAAAATTATGTTTCTTCTTAATTAAAAAGGAAAAAATGTATTTCTAGTCTTTGTGTGGAAGGAGTTGATCTTTTGAACCATTGACTGAGAAATCTAATTTGCATGCTTCTGAGCAACTCAATAAAACATGGAATGATTGTTCCCTGAAATTTTGAAATGCATGTAGAAAATCAACTGTATTGGGTTAAAAATTGGTATCCTATGCGAAACCTGCTTGTTTGAATCTGATCCTTGCTTCTTTTCATATATTACTTGTTATTTTCATGCAAGCACATTTGTAAGCACTCACCTCTTCCTTAAATAGATTTCTCATGGGCATATAATCTAAATGAGTATTTGTCTTCTTGTTGTCTCAATGACATCTTGTTATATGTTTGCTTTTTCTTGGAAGGTTTCTGGCAAGGTGGAAAAGGCTAGGGAAATTCTTGATCAAGCAGTTGAGAATAACCAGTTGTCCAAACCACTTTTGGAGGTTCTATATTTCTCTCCTTTCTCCCCCCTGGACTAAAAATAGCTCAATAGAATATCACCCCCCACATGCACACACATGCTTCTTTTCATTATAAAGATACCCTGTGCACCCTCAATGCAGAAAACACATTTATCTGATGTCTGTTAGGTATTTCCACTTTGAAGTGTTTATATTCCGCGAATTTTGTATTGTCGCAGGCATTGATTCACATAGAGTCTATACAGTCACTTCCAAAGCGAATTGATTATTTGGATTCACTGGTAGATAAGTTCATTGTTCCGAATACTGACAGCACTAATGTTTCAAGTATTGCTGAAAGAGAGGAGCTATCAAGCATTTTTGTGGAGGTAATGAATAGCGTCAGATTATTTATCACTGTGTACAACGCTAGTTGGAACAAACACATTTCTTGAAAACCACTATCAAAGAGTGGTTACTTAAACCTATTTATATGCTTCTTCCAGTAGACACCGTTGAAATTGTCATTAATGTCTCTTTGCATGTGCACCAAATCCTAGAATAGGTTCTACCGTTGAGCATTTGCTCGTGCTAATGTGGTGCAAACTACTGCGTGATCTGGATGCTTTCCTAATGTAATTAATTTCCGTGTTTGTGAGAAATGATGTGTTGAACATTTTGATGTGAACTTCTTACACCTGAGGTTTTATAATGGTTTCTGATTTTTATTTTTTTATTGATATGTTGTATTTGTAAAGCCTTATTCCCCCCAACCATGGCATAACTTATTTTGCGTCCAAATGGCTTTTGCAGTTTTTGGATCTATTTGGAGATGCACAGTCTATAAAGAAGGCTGATGATCGACACGCTAAACTCTTCTTGCGGCATAGGAGTACGTCAGAGTCAAAGAAGCGCCATGCAGAAGATTACTTAATTTCAGACAAAACTAAGCTTGCAAAATCAGTTACTCCATCCATCCCCTCTGTTGTCGGTGCATTTCCCAACACGCAAAATCAGTGGCCAGCAGGTTATGGTGTACAGCCTCAAGCTTGGCCTCAAGCTGCTCAAGCTCAAGTACCACAGTGGAACCCTGGTTATGCTCAACAGGTACTTACAATTATTGGAATTCTGATGCCACCCGGAGTTGGATGTTGGTAAACCTTAAATCTTTAAAATTTTAAATTATGATATGAAAATCGGTGGGAATCATCTGTAATCTTCATCAGAGTGGTTAAGTTTGTCTTATGCAGGAAATTACGATTTTTTTGGCTGAAATATCTGTCTTTTATGCCCTCAACCCCCCGAGAAAGAAAAACAAGCATGAGTACTCTACAAACTACAAAAAGACAGCTATTTGTTTACTCTAGTTGTAGTATGATCTTAGGCATGGCAATACTTTGTTTATAGGCTGACAGAAACTGATTTTATATATTCTTTAAGGATGTAATCTTTTATCATGAGTCTGACTTGTCCTGAAATGCAAAACTTTGTTCTTTTGTTTTCGGTTATTTAGGCTGCGTATGGTGCATACAGCACTTATGGAACAAACTATACTCAACAAGTACCTACATCAGTGCCCCAAAGTGCTGCTTATGGAACCTATCCTCCAGCTTATTCGACCCAGGTAACTTAAAACCATTCTCTGAATCATAGCTTGGCAAATGGATAATTCCTTTGCTGGATATCATTACATACTCATTGATCAAACTTCTTGTAAATTATTTTGGACCAGTGCTGTCTGTTGGTTTTCAGTTTTCTAGATTAAGATCTATTTTGGCTTTATTGTAGCATAAGAGGTCAAATTTGTGCAAATTGAGGAATTGTAACTACCCTCCTTTTTGGGGCAATCCTCTCAATTTGAAGTTGTCAAATAATTACAATGTTTTAGCAAGAAGTTTCAAATCTTGCAGTGGATTATTTCTATTTTTTTTTCTTTTTTTGTTGCTCATCAGAGCCCACATATATCATGGTGGCTATGCCAAGTACCTTTTGTTATTCTTTATTTTCACTTCTTAGATATTATTATGAATATCATTATTTGGGGAGTTCTTGAATCAAGTCCACCTTTTTTATTTTATTATATCTTTATTCACAACTTCTTAGGCACATATATAAAAGAATCAGAACCCAATTCTGTTTGTTATTTTGTCTCTACTCGTACTGTTTCCTGCTAAAGCCGTTTCATATTCTTGGTCGTATTTTCAGCAGGCCTTTGCCCAACAAAGTTATGCACAACCTGCAGCAGCTGCTCCAGCACCACCACCTTCTGCAGTTCCACCTGCTACGTATTACAGCAGTTTCTATTGAGCAGGCAAATACTATTACTATTCAATTTTGCTTGTGTAATTTAATCCCTTTGTCCAGTGTAAGTTCTAATACTGTGAACATGGACGGATTGCTAAGTTGTCGAGCACTTAGGTAGGATTGTGAGTGTAGTAATCTGTTTACTTTGTAGTAGCCAACTTGATTCATACATAACTGTTGTCTAGTTTTCTTTCTTCGAACTTATCTTAAATATTTGTTTACCGTTGTGTGAAAACGTCAGGGAATGCCCGGTACATGTATATTCTTGAGCAGGCACATCAGCTCGTTTTGTGTTTTTGCTGCATGATATTCATTTTATCGGAAGTAATGCTTGCTCAATTCAAAGAACTTGTAATATAATGATTTGAGGCATAGGCCCTTTTAGTTAAGACTTTTGAAAAGTTAGAAGTTGCCTATCGTTAAGAAATTTGACATATAATTTTTTGGTAGTGCTTTCGCTTGTTCGGGATTGATTTTAAAGTCATTTATTAAATTAAAAAATAAAAGCATAGTCATAGACTAGAAAATAATTAATTAAATTTAAAACTGATATATTTTTATTATAGATAATCAAAGAAATTAAAAAGAAAAATTCGAGAAGTCACCATTTAGTAAATGTTAATTATTTTTCAAAAAAATTATGAAGTCACATTCTCCAGTCCAATAGAGCATGTTAGCCTGTCCTCGAAAATTTGGTTTTTCTTTATCGAAGATTTACTTCTTAAAAAATGGAAGTTTTTATAAATAACTCAATAATTGAAAATGACGTATAATATAAAGTGATATCTTATTATATTTTAAAAGTGAGACTTACAAAAATAAAGTGTTCGCAATAATCAATTATTCATATCATGTTTACAATAAGATGAAAAGAGAATCTATAAAATTACTTTTGAATTTATTAAAAATAACTCAATTTTGCTTTATTTTTTGATACAGTTAGAAATTCTTGAATTTGCTCCATTTATGCCAAATTTGTTACCTTTGCACTTCATTTTAGAGCAATTCTAGCCATCGAAATTCCTGACAATCTATAAAAGGGAAAATCACTATCGTAGATGACGATTCTTTCACCCATAAGTACAGTAGAGCCAAGAGAAGGAAAAAAATTTCGCTTCTCCTCTCCAACTCATTATTTGAGTAATAAATTGATCTCTACCCTTTTACGTAGAAAATTAATAGTTTACACAATCGATTCTCAATATGAAACGTTTAAATTTATATTAAGTTGTCATGTAAACCTCACATATACACGTTTGTTAAGATGAATTTTGTTTCCCAACTCGAATCGATGCTTAAATATCTAAAATTAGAGTCATGGATAATGATATATAATCCATGTTTGACGGTAATTAAAATCAGATTTTTAATTGACTTTGATAGAAATTGATGAAATGTGTGGTTGAAAATTTGTGGGACCAATAAAATATTTGATTGAAATTAATTATTGACTTTGATATAAATCAAAATTTTAATTTTAATTCCTAACAAATACGGACATAACATTATTTATACTTAACATCAATTTAGACGATAGTGAACCTACACATTTATTTATCAACAAAAAAATACATACCAACTTTATTAGACACAAATTATTGGGGCCTTACTACCACCCAAGATGGGGATAAGCACATGCCGCACTACGGGTTCTTTTATCACGGTTCTTAAAAAGCTAAAAGTTGTTTTGGAGATTAAGAAGTTGAAATTGCTTTTAAATCTGTTTAGATTATTTTTTAGAAATACTTTGTCTTGTTAAAAGTGCCTTTAAAGGAAACTGATATAGTGTAACATTATCATGAAACCCTTCTATAAGAAGTAAAAATAGAAGTTCTATCAAATGGGCTTTACATCTCATTATTCTTTTCAAAATTTGGGACGTTTTATGCGGGTTAGGTATTGCTTAATGAAAAATTCTTCCTTTTTTTAAGTTAGGGATCAACATACCTGTTAGACAAAAGGTTGGGGACTAATACGACAATTGTTCCCAAAATAAAAACTTACGCCCACTCCCTCCTCTGCTATAGATACTGTTCTTAAAATCTTTCCATAAACTCCTCTCTCGTACTAACGCAGTGTTATTTCTCTTTCTCTATTCAATTTTCTGGTTCCCCCTTTTGAAAATTTAATTAAACAAATAAACTCACTATGAATATTTTTTGAATCGCATAGGTCATTATCTAGGTTTTTTCGGATCGGTGTTGGGAAGCCTGATTGTAGGTAGAGACAATGGCTACTCAGTACGCTGCTCCAGTCGCTGCTACCAAGGTTATCAAATTTCTTTCAATCAAATTATTCGCACGAATTTTATTTTATTTTTTCTAATTTTGTTATTTCAAAATCGATTTTTTTTTTTTTTTAATGTCTTTTGGCGTGTTTGGATTATTAGGTTGGTTCGTATTTTGTTCAGCAGTACTATCGAGTGTTTCAACAGCAAAGGGATTGTGTGCATCAGTTTTACAATGATGCCAGCTCTATGGTGAGAGTGGATGGGGTAAACAGCCAATCTGCCTATGAAATGGTGGTAAGCTTTTATCTTTTTATTATTTTTTTCACCGTTTTAGGTGGTTGGGACATGTTTTGTGTAGAATTGACATGTTTTTATTCACAGGGGAGATGCTATCTCTGTAAAATGGTTTTCAAATACAAATAAGTTGAATATCTCTGTTACACATGAAATCCATTTTATCTGTAATGGACACTCTTAGCTGCCTCATTTTTCCTATTTCTGGCANCTTAGCTGCCTCATTTTTCCTATTTCTGGCACTGGCTATTCATTCGACCCATGATTTAGAAGCCGACCATAAAAAACAAAGAAGTCGCTTATTGTTTTAATGACGGTTAATAATCATTTACACAGAAAGAAAAGCAGATACTTGTAGAATGTGGCTACACATCTTCTTGCTATTAAAATACAAGAAAGATGCTATAAGTTCAATTATTGAAAGTAATTTTTATATCTGTTTTCTGCCCTTGTGTGGGTATCTTGGTTTAATTTTGTGGGAGGAACACAGTCTGACATTTATTTTGTGGACACTTGACACTCGCTTATACGTTTCTGCTTTTTCCTGCAGGAAATTCATCAAATGATCACATCACTAAATTTCTCAGGAATTGAGATCAAGACAATAAATTCTCTCGATTCATGGAATGGAGGTGTTCTCGTGGTTGTTTCTGGTTCTGTCAAGTTGAGGGATTTCAGTGGCTGGAGGAAGTTTGTGCAGACTTTCTTCCTTGCACCTCAGGAGACGGGTTATTTTGTACTAAATGATATTTTTCACTTGCTTGATGCGGAAGTTCCCGATCAACTTCCAGCTTCAGCAGTAATGGAACAGGAACATGATTATCAACCAGCTATTTCTACTCATCATCCGGAGCTTCAAGGTATAATAAATAGTATGTTTTCCAAATATAGCTGCAAAGAAAGTGTCACGGTGTTTGTTTCGTATAAGGGGATTTTTCTTATTTACAATACCTCAACTTCTCTCAGTGAATCACATGTATGAAATTCCGACTGGCTAAATTTGGTTCATGCAAATAACTAGTCCCAGAAGTTTCTCATTCAAACTGATGCCCACAAAAATTTGTTTGTTTATTTCCTTCAAAGTTGGAGCAGTTAAATAGCAATGTTAGATTCAATCTTGCAAATTCTTTTTGGCAATGTTGATGTGCAAGTGATGGAAATCCTAGTAGATGTATTATACAGAAGAATTTCCAAGTTAGATACTTAATTTAGGAAACGATCATTTTATTTTATAGATATTCTAGTATTTTATTACTTGTTTCCTATAAAGGGAGTTTATGCATTGTAATAGTTAGACTTGATTATTGAATAAACTCACATTTCTCTTGATTCTCTTTCTCTTTCTTTCCGCTTCTTTTTCAATTCTCATTCTTTGTTCGATTGTGATCTATGTCAACAAGAGTTTGTGAAGGATAGGGGTGGACAAAAGAACCAGAACCAACCAAAGCAAACAAGAACCGGCCAGTTCGTTTTGTTTCTGCTTAAATTTTAAATGATTTTGGTTCCTAAAACCAAGAAAGAATCAGTTCTAACCCAACTATTTTTTAATTAATTGTATTTATTTGTTGAATTAGTGAATGATTTTTATTAGACAATATTTTGTGTGATGAATCATGATAGCACTTTCGTTTACATTGAATGAGGCTTAATGATTTAGAATTTTGGTTATGGATCCCAACAGAACCAAACCAAACTGGAACCATTCTATTAGGTTCTTGTCAAGTTTCACAATTACCGATGTAACCAATGGTTCCATTGTAAGAAAATAATTGGTTCTTGGTTGTGTTCAGTTGAACCACGCCCACCCCTAGTGAAGGGGGTTCCAAGTCTTTTGAGAACTGGTAATTCCCACTATGTCCAGAATTTTTGCATTATTGATTCTTGCTGTAATAAAAAAAAAAAATGTCAAAAGAGGATTTCCTGTCCATATGGATTTTTAAAATACTGTGCCAACATATTTCATTTTTATACCAGGTTCTGACTATGCTTCAGAGGAGGAGGGCGGGGTATATATGAATTCTGCGAACATTGAAGGTGATGTGCCAGTCGAAGAGTACAGTTTTCAAGAGCATCAGGAGGAGCAGGAACCTGAGGCTGAAAGAGTAGAAGAGGATACTCCTTCGGAAGACTCAAATCCCCTACTTCAAAATATGGCGGCTACTGTGCAAGAACCTGCACCTGCCATAGAGGAACCTGTTGAAGAGCCTCAGAAGCTGACTTATGCTTCTATAGTATGTACAACAACCAATGGCGTCAGTTAATGAATACATGCTATCTGATTCTTTTGCATTACGTTAAATCTTCTAAATGTGCTAGGCCAAAGTGTACAAGTCATAATTTCCTGGCTGTCTCATCGATATTGCGTTATCTGAAAATGTGCTGCATGAGTCAGTTATAGATGCAGAATCATTGGGAAGTGTTTATAAATTGTCTGAATAATAAATAGATAGAAATGGGTGGTGGTTAAGTGGGTAGTACTTGTGGGTCTCTCAAAATGTGTGGATAAAGTGGCTTGAGTGTTTATGAACTTGAATCAAACATAGGCTCAGTCAACAAGACTTTTCAAGGAGACAGAATACTTAGTGATATATCCAAGTATTTAATCAATACTTCCCCATTTTTTTGTGGATATATTTTTCTATCATTTTAAATCAAATACCTGGTATCTCAGGTGTTCCACATCAATGTGGCCCTATGAATTCCAATAGAACTGAAGATACTACAATTCCTTATAAACTTGGGCTCTTTTAGAGGTTATTCCTGGAATCCTTGAGAGTTGTACTATATCTATTGCCCCTCCTCCTTTTTAGTTCAAAACTCCTTTTTTTTTTGATAAGTAATCATGTAAAATAAATTTTTAGTTCAAAACTCCTATCATAATGAATTGAAATAACTGTGGATATTTTAAGAACGGTTTATAACTGTGGTACTCCTTTGTCTTTATCTTCATATTTGTCCATGGAATGTAGATGTTTCTTCCGATACTTCCCTACCAACACATGTATTCATATAACCACAGCTAACTATACTAGGACGAACTAATTTTCTTGAGACTTTCTTTTAACTCTCCTGTCGTGCCTAATCTCCATAATGCACCAGTGATTTGTTCACTACATTTTTGACTGATTAGTATTCTCTCCCCATGCTTTCTTGGAACATTAAAAGTTGCGTGCCAAGGGAAAAGCAGCACCATCAGTCAGTTCTAGGCCATCTTTTCCTCAGAGCACACCACCTGCTTCAGATTGGAACCATGCATCACAGCCCTCACTTCAGCAGTACAATGTGACATCAGTTGTGCTAGACTCTGATGTGGATGCAGTGGACGAAAGTTCTCCTCAACTGGATGGTACATTTTATAATTCACTGTTCTTTTGGGAAGTACAAGTGCTCTGAGTTTTGAGTTTGAGTAATTTTCTATATTGGAAGCATAGCGAATATTTCTGTATTTCAGTTCATTGTACCAAATTCAATTTTTCTGCAGCTTGTTGCATCAAATGAAATTGTTCTTTGACTCAAATCCCATGAAAGTTTGTATAGTTCATACAGTGTTTGGGGTAAAGTCTTGTTTGGGATTGATAAGCTAGAATTTTCTAAGGTTTTAAGAGATCTTCAGTCGACATGTCTTCTTTGTCTTGTATTCATCCTTGAGCATCAACGTAATATTAATTAGAGAAATTGAGTTCTGCTGATTAATTTTTTTCAAAATAGTCAAATTTTAAGAAGTATTTGTTTTATTTTTTGTCAAGGTTCATGGTTAGATGAGTTGTTACAAGAAATATAATCCATTGAAAAAGCCTAGTTATACGAATTTCCTGCAAGTTCTTGTAATCCACTGAAAAACACTTATCAAAATTTGATTGTTGCAATTGTTTTGGCAGGGGAATCAAAATCTGTGTATGTGAGGAACTTGCCACCTACAGTTACTAGTGTGGATATTGTGCAAGAGTTCAGGACTTTTGGGAAAATCAAGCACGATGGGATCTTCTTAAGAAATCGCAAGGTCTATTTCCCTTCTTTTCATCGTTATCATGCGGTATGATTACATTTGTGTAATATCTAAATTTTCAAGTGCTGAAAAGGATGCTGATGTATGCTATGACTTCGTTGAGTTAGAAGACGTGCAGAGTGTTCAGAATGCAATCAAGGTTTAAGGATGCTGATGTTTGCTATGCCTTCGTTGAGTTTGAAGACGTGCAGAGTGTTCAGAATGCAATCAAGGTTTGATCCTTTTTCACATAGAATATATGTTTGTCGAAATAACCAGAGATCAAAGACGAGAGCTTTTTCACTAAGCCTATGTTTGGCTAACGGCCAAACCACTTTTTATCCACACATATCATGGGGCCCGCAAATGTTACCAACTTATTCACCGCTCATTTCTATCCGATCAAATTTTAACTGTTTATAAGCACTTCCGTACCAAGATTTAAGTATTTATTTTTTTGTCATCTGCAATATTTTTAGATAGCTTACCTAATGCTTAGCATTGTTTTCACTTCTTAGTTTTCTGTTTCGTTTGTGTTAATCATCTTATTTAAAATTATGTCATGGTTCATCTTAGTTAGAGCTAATAAGCATAAAAGATATCTTATTACTATAGGCTTGCTTCAAGGTTCCATCTTTAGTCCTCATATTTTTGCTTTAGTCATGGACGAATTTACGAGGCATTTAAGATATGGTGAGTTGGGAAAGTAGTTTTGTTGACGAGATTAGGAGAAGAATTCATTGTTTGTTGGGAATGTAGTAGAGTGTACTTTTGTATCAAAAGTTACTACGTTAAGTAAAGTTCAGAGAGCTCACAATAGAAACAAAGACGATAAACCAAAATAAACCTATGACTTCCGAGAAGGACTATAGAAGAGAGAGAGAGAGAGAGCTCAACCAAAACTATTATAATCTGCCTAAAAGTTTGATTGGATATTTGTGCAGATGTAGCACCAGACAAATGAGTGGCTAAGAAAGGACTAGTTATGCTGTGGCCCCAACTCTATTAAAAGACATCTTAGCTTGCTGCTGTTCATCTAATTAAAATTAAATGTCACTTTTAGAATAATGTCATCTGTTTTAGTCCCACATCTATCATTATCTTACATGCGATGACACGGAGCTCAACAAATGTGTTACTGCTGTGGTGCTGCCACTAGCTTTTCAAAGTCTCAAATGTGATTTGGAACATTTTGGAAATTTGTATTTTCATTTATAGAATTTCTACTGGGACGTCAAAGATGATTCTCAGATTTTCCTGGTGCTCCTTTTTAATTGGCACAAACCATGTACCTGGTATTTTAATATTGTTTTATTTTGTTTCTCTCTTCTAGGCTTCTCCGATTCAGTTGGCAGGAAATCCAGTGTACATTGAGGAACGAAGACCAAACACCATTAGTACTTCACGTGGTGAGATTATATTTTGCAAACTGCTTTTGCTTCTTCTTTTTTTTTTTGACTATTTTTCTGCTAAGTTGGATATCTTGTGATTTTCTGTTCAAGCTGTTTTTTTTTTTTTTTCATTTTCTTATTTCATTAAATACCACAATGACAGTGTTTCTTTCTTCAACCCCTCTTATTTTTTTTTTTCCAGTTTCATTGTCTCTTATGATCATAATTCGAGGTTCATTTTTCTTCTTATTTTCTTAGTATCCTTCTTGATAATCATATTAAGTTGCTCGTTCTTCCAACATTTGTTAATGTTTACGACTCTTGTTTGTTCAAAGCTAAAATTCTCGGATATTTGAAAACAGCAGATAATAGTAAATAAATGCAATGAAGAACACCCCCCACCCCCCACACAGACACAGACACAGACACAGACACAGAGGACATTTACATTGCAATTGTCTTGACCAGGAATGGGAAGAGGCAGAGGCGGCCGTTTTGGTGGAAGGACTCTCGGCAGGGGAGGCGATCAATATGCCAGAGACAACAACAGATCGAAGATCAATGGTTTCCGTGGTATATGATGAGAAAATAATGGTCATGAATACCAATAGCAAGCCTCCTTATGCAGCCATAACTTAGTTTAGGTTTTGATCGAAGACACCAAAGCTTCTCGGTTTAACCATGAAAATTCTATTGAAAACCATTTTTGTTCCAAGTGGCTTTCTTGGTTTATTTTTTTCCCCTTCCAACGTTATTATGCTTCTTTCGTCCCTCTTGGTTGTTCTTTAGTTTATCCAACTCAAGAAGGCATATTTTGTACTTTGGAGCAAAGTTTTATTGGAAATATTTGTGTGAGTGATTCACTAAGCGAATTTACATATTGTGTTTAATAAATTTACGTTGTGCAACGTACAACTACATTTTGCGTGAGTACATTTGCAGGAAAAAAAAATTATAAAATGTCATTTTAAATAGTTGAATAGATAAAATTACATTTGATTAACGTTTTGTATACTGTTTTCTATTATTGATTTTCCATGCGTTCCCTTAAAAGATGATTTTTTTTTTCTAAGTGATTTATAAAATTTATTATCCTTCTTTTCCTAAACTTCAACATCAATCCAATAAAAATATGTTTTTAAGTTAATAAATTGTTGAAAAATATAGAAAATGCATCATTTGATTTGACACTTCTAATATTAGAAAAATAAATAAAAATTCTTAATTTTTATGTTCTAATTAATAATTTGTGGTCGATGACTAAGAATAAAAAACCTACCAATTAAAATTGTTTTTATATTAGTTTATTTGTAGATAAAAAAAATTATTTTCTTATTCATTTTAAGTTGGGGTGATTTTTTTATGAAGAGAAGAATATATAAATTGATAATAAAAGAAAAATATATAATTTTATGTAAAAGCAAAAAGTATAAAAAAAGTTATATCACTTTAAAAGTTCAGCATGCAATCAAAGTACAGTAATCAATCGAAAACGTTTTTCAAAGTATGGTAATCAATCGAAGATACCGCTGCTGTTACGGGTCATAAATGAAAGTTGAGCCACTAACTAAAGTCTGTCTATCGTTCGATAAGTTCAATAGCCAAATCTGCACCTTTTAAGCTCCAGTGAGAAATTAAGTTAAAGTGATTATCAAGAATTTGCCACTGTACGATCAAAATCCTGAACAGCAACCAATTGGGAAAGTAAATTTCCATTTTCATCGAAAAGAGATTGTTTTGGTGGGTACGAATTAAAATGTTGGAGTGCAAATGCTTTTATTGGAGCTGAGTGACTGATGTGCAGTAGCGTGAGCCCGAAACTTTCTCTTTGCTGCCCCCGATTCCTCAATGGCCTCTAGGTAATCACAAAATTATTTATACATGCAATTAATGAATCTTAGTTCTGTTTATTAGTTGAGGGTTCCGATAGATTTGATCCACTCAGTTTTAGAGAATTTGACTCGTGGAGATTAATTATGTCTTAAAATGGGTATTATCCTGCTAATAAAATGTTTATGCTTTCCAACTTTACAGTAATAATGATTATAAAGAAGAAACAACCAATTCTTGGCTCTTTGAACTCAATTGTGTGGTTATGAATGACAAAAAAAAAAAAGGGAAAAACAGTAGTGTTGTACTTGTCTCAGTTGTAGTCATGAGCATATTGTTTATTTCAAAATTCTATTTCAAATTTTTATGTGTTCTCAGGAATTAGAGGTTTCTTTCTTATCCTTATTTTTAACTTTGTTTTCAAGCTTTTCGTCTTCGCAAGGATTGTGTTTGCTATAGAAATGAAATACCAATAGGGGGCCTCGGTGTGAGAACTATTTGGAAATGCTTTTTTCAGTTATTGCCCCTGTTGAAATCATCGTGCATGTTGTTTGCATAGTTAAGCTTGAGCTTTGTTTCATGATCATTGATCTGCATTACATTTCATTTCATTATAGTATTTTCATGCATTAAAAGACCTGCAAAGTTGTCAAATTTATGGTTCTTTGAATGGCTTATATAATTTTAATCGTCTACTTGTTCCTTTGTGGTAACCAATGCTTGAATATGCAGGTTCAGGATTTGGTAGCTTGAAAATCGGATTAGGAGAATTAGAGGTTTGTGAAGTAACTAAGTTTGAGTTTATATGGGGATGCAATACGTCTCAGGACAGGAAACGGGGCATTAGTTTCTATAAACCAATTGGAATACCTGGTGGATTATTTAACCTTGGTCACTACTGCCAAAACTAGTGAAAAGCCTTTACAAGGTTTTGTTCTTGTAGCCAGGGAAATGTTCAAATCGGAGCCAGGACATAGTTGCTACTCTAAATCTGACTCCATGCCAGCTCTCGTGACTCCTGTGGATTATACATTAGTTTGGTGTTCAGATGATGGTGGAGATGAAAATTTTGATACATGTGGTTACTTCTGGTTACCCCCAACCACCCGAGGGTGGTTATAAAGCTTTGGGCTTTGTGGTGAGTCTGGTGACCAACAGGCCAGAGAAGCCACAGTTAGAGGAAATCAAATGTGTCTGTGCTGACCTAACAGATAAATGTGAACCTTATCGCCTGACAGTCAACACCCACTCTACTTTTTTAAAAGTACCACTCAAAGTTTGGAGTACAAGATCTCTTCATCGAGGAATGCGTGGTAGAGGTGTCTCAGTAGGTAGTTTCTTTTGCAGTGGCCACTGGATCCCAGGAGAGGAGCTGGATATTGCATGCTTGAAGAACTTAGACAATACACTACAGGCAATGCCAAATCTTGATCAAATTCATGCACTAATCAGGCTCTACGGACTTATTGTCTTCTTCCATCCTGATGAGGCCTATTTGCCATCTTCTGTTTCATGGTTCTTCAAAAATGGGGCATTATTGTTCAGAAATGGTGATTCATTCGGCGTGGCCATTGATAGCGAAGGTTCCAATCTGCCTAGGGGAGGGACAAATGACGGGGAGTATTGGATACATTTGCCAACTGATGGTCGCAAGGAGAGCGTTAAACATGTGAACTTATAAAGAACCAAACTGTACATACATGTAAAACCGGCATCAGGCGGGACTTTCACTGATGTCGTGATGTGGGCACTCTGAAAGTAGGATTGATGAACATTGCTCTTAGCTAGATTGGTCAACATGTGAGTGATTGGGAACATTTGACACTTCATATAAGCAACTTCACGGGGGAGCTCTGGTGCATATATTTTTCACAGCACAGTGGCGGTGTTGGGTAGAAGCTTTTGATTTGGAGTTCATCGATGGAAATAAAGCCATCATTTATTCATCAAAAAGTGGTCATGCTAGCTATCCACATCACGGAAAATATATTCAGGGTTCCACGAAGTTTGAGATTGGAGTGAGGAATGATGCTGCATTGCTGCTCGTAGTAACTATTATGTGTGTTCAAGCACACAATTCGAGATTGTT